TTGTTCTATTGGAAAAATGAGGATACGAACATTTATATGGAGCTTGCTATCAATACACACTTAGCTATAAAGATACGCAAATAAGTCCAATGAGTTTATACCACTTTGCTCGCAACCAAACCACTGCTTCGTTGTGACCCAAGTATTTCCAGTTGACTTATTCTTTTGCTTGAATCCCAGTACGCAAATATTGAAAATCAAATAGCGTCAAAATGGTTAGGTTTCCATGCCATGGGCCTTCCCAGTCAGTCGAACTAATTTCGGTCGATTGGTAGTTGTCCAACCCTACCGTAAAGAAGCATAATCTTATTTCAATGACTCAATAATTCCGAAAACGTTATTTAGTGCATTTTTTTTTATTTCTAATTGAAAAACACTTACGTGGAGGCAGGAGATTTTTTTGAGACAAACAAAGTAAATGTTTCAAGCTAAAAAATATTTCTAACAGAATGAATCAGCAGGATCTCTCGATATGAGCACTCCTATTTACTTTCAGACATATTAAAGTCTTTTGAAAAAATATCAAAGTACATTTTTTAATAGCGCGAAAAACGTTAGTTACACGTCCAATTGTCGATGTTGCCTCGCTTATTTCTTTATCGCAATGACCCGCAACTCCATCAGCGGCAGTTGGCGTCACCAACCAAAGGAAAAATGAAGCATCTCTTACCATGCCATTTCGCGTTTACATCAGACGCTGCTGCTTCAATTAAGCATTCAGACAGCTGGCCGCCTATAGTAGCACGAAATAAAGTGTGTCTTTTTTTTGGATTCGAGCCTGAACCTCTTATTTGTTTCTACTCAACCACCATCATGATCAGCCTATAAAATTGTAACTTTTGTCAGTTCCGTGCCTATTCTTTAACAATCATACTATCTATACTATACTAAATTCTATCTATACTTATAGTGTACCAGTCGAAAAAAAGAATGGTAGCCATAGTGTAACAAAAAAAAAAGCAGTTTTTCCGTTGAAAATAGCCAAACTGTGCGTCGCCTACATGCGTACCACATTGGCTTATGTAGAACAGTAGTTAGCCCTTGCACATTGCAACTTTATTAAATTCATCTATACGATCAATAAACAATAGATTTCTACGGAAGGCCTAGCTAGTTTCGGTTCACTGTTGAAGGAAGCGGCCAAAAGCGGGTTGAGAAAAGCAATCGATAAACTCTGGCTCGCGCGAGCTCATTTTAATGACTAGAAGTTTTTAATGTTCGAGATGTTTCATGGAATAGCACGACGAAATTACTACTTGTAGACAATCGGTTGATCGAGATTAGTTTCATGAACATTTCCATAATCGTACCTATACTGAAGTAGATTTGTTCAGGTATGAACGAGGTAAAAGACTAATTGATTCGATGCATAGCCGATCGGAGTCCAGGATCGTAAGTCAAGGCTCAGTATGTTAATTGCTGGCACTAGCATTGTTACGGCGGCAAGTCTTTACTACACGCCCTGTAAAAGGGAACCATAAAGCTATCTGATCGTGCTATAAAGGGCCATGTTGCTCAACTGTAGTGAGCCTAAAGTTGTCAGATAGCTTTTGCTCCTTGTCAGAAGTGGGGTCAGTTCAATGGTAAAGGATGACCGTACACGACCGTGGCGAAAACGCATCGAATAGGTAACCGAGACACGGTCCTCTCTGAGAAACTCCGACAGATCTGCTTTTTGTTGTCATCTTGTTTTTCCTTGGCTTTAAGTGCGTTTGTGTCGCTGTAGAATTTGACTTATCGGAGGAATCGATTATGGCAAATTAATTGCGCCTTCGGTGAAACAGCCGTGTTGACTTAGTGGTTTAATCGTAATAGAATTTGTAGGTAATTATTTTATAATTATCATAAAGACCTTGAAAGGGTCCGTTCGCATGCAAAAGCGGTCCTATGTGAGTAGTATAAAACAGGAGTACCGTTTACTTCGGTTTATATTGACACATTTCAAATCAGCTCAAGTTCAAAGCTTTTTTTTTCAGCCTGGACAAAAGTCTGACGCGTTGAATACTGCGATTATTGTTGAGTCTCGTTTTAGGGTATCTTATTTTCAAGAGGAATTATTGAACGGGTTCAATGGGTTCATAAATGGAACGTAATCTAGCCTTTTCAGTACCTATCAACTCCGTCTCTAGCAACTTAGAACTATGCTCAAACACAGAAGCTAGCTATACTCAAAATGGGTCGGACATGTAGACATTACTCGTTTTCAAAATAGACAAATTCATGCATCAATCCTTGAATTCTTGAAAATGGGTATTAACCTCTCTTTCTGACAAGTAGGGAATAACTCATAATTCACAATGAACAATCAAACATATAATTTTAACCCTCGCAAACGTCTTTAGAAAATTGTTCTTTTTCATTTTGCTTCAAAAACTATTGTCATCATGAAATTTCAGGCTTCTCTCCCTTAGGTAACATTTAGGTGTCGCTTAGAGAAGGTAAAAGCCGTTCTTAGCATTAGACAAGCGACCGTTCTGCTGTTACTTGACATCAAATAGATGCGGATGGCAATAGTTGAATTTTGAACATGCGTTGGCTCGCGCTAGAATTCACAATAGTTCAGATCGTCGAAAAGGCCCAGGTCCTGGATAGCACAGAATACCTCTCTAATCTGAATTTATTTTCCTAAGTTTCGATATAATTAAACACGGCGGCAAGCCCATGCGTCTGTCTAATGCAATCTCAAGAAAACTGAGATAGACGAATTAACCATGGCATCTATCATTCTGCCACAAATCTGAATATAGTATAATATACGGTATCAATGTCCTAGGCTGTCATATTAGGTTGGCTGAAATGTTCCATTTTCGCTAGGATCAAGTAAAGCCAGGCTGCTAGTTGATCCTGCAGATAAAAAACATTTTTAAAAACTAATTCAACCCTGTAATGCAAATAAATGCCAAAGATTGGATTATTTAGTTCTCCGAATCTACCGCCGATTTAAGTCTAGAAAAAAAAAAAACTAGAACGTTCGGTACGAATCCACGCAGAGCTAGATTTGCAGCGAAGACAAAATCTTCCTTGCTAGGAAACTGATTTTTATAAATGTTTGTAAATGTCTTTTGGCTTGTCTTTTTTGTGAAGCGACAACAAGCAAACCGTTGAATAGAATGGTATAATTTCTATCATCAATAATACATATATGGCCAAGGTACCTGATACGAGTAAACTGCTTATATCATTTAAGGAAGTCATTAATCTTGTTGAAAGAAAAAAAATCTTCTGTGATGGTATTTTAGTTTTAGTGAGGTTAACAACAGTTTTTAATAACTACCATGTACATTTTTGCTATTTCTGACTGTCCGCTATTTTTTTACGGCAGGCTTCGGGCAGCTTTCTATGGCACTAGTGCAAACTTCTCTTAGGATAGGTGGCTGAATACGACTTTAAAGAAAGCGGATAGGGGAAGGAATTATAGCATTTATCACATTCTTATTTATTCTGGAAGACCAACGTCCAGATTCTACTCTGTACCGTTTCATACGTAATCAAGATTAGTACCCCATCACTGAGTTCGTAAATATAAGGCCGACAAACTCCATACGAAGTTAATGATTGTGCAATCGGGGCACATTACCTAAAGTCACAATGACAAAAGCAGCATCAAACGTCCGTTGTGGAAATGGCTTAATCCCATCAAAAAACAATCGGTAAAACCAACAACTAGCACCAAATCTCTATCAAGCCATTCATCATGCACGGCGTTACCTTTTACGTCACCACTGTCTTCTGTTCTCCTGCTCGTGCCTAACAAGGTTTCTACTTACAAATAAAACGGAAACAGACTTGTCTTTACGAGAAGAATATGCCTTTCCGCTATCTATTAGCGTAGTAGTGCCGTAGCCTGTACAGCGTTTGAGGGCTGCGTTTTGAACGCTCCCAGTTATTAGCTAGAGCTACTCAACTAGCTATCGAATGCACGAAGAAGTCAGGAGAGGCAACGTCATGCCTTCTTCATTTTTAATGGCCGGTCACCAGTTCTACTCAATTATGGCCATTTCCGTGCTTCTGCCGCCGTTTCTACCCGAGCTGTTTAGTGGTGTCGCGAAACTCGTGCGGACGAAACTTGTACGGAGACAACGGTTGGGAGGAGGTTCGCCCCCTATTGTAACTGCAAGTATAGTCATTCCGCTGTTGCTGCTACTGTTGCGACAGGAGTCCGCTGCAGGACTCTTTCGGCAAGCGTAAGAGATGGGTAGGTGAATGGGTGAGAGAAAAGCGTAGAAAGGGTATTTACCGCGCACGTGTTACTACGTCGCTCAGTGACTTGGCGGTTACATGAAGCTCTAGCTAGAATGCCGATCCTTCTCATGCAGCGCACATTCAGTTGTGGTCATCTTTCAGGTCCTCACTGGCTTTTGCTAGAATTAGAGCGTTTGAGGAGTGGCCTCTGCAGCAGGAGCTAAAGTGTTCGGTCTCAGAACTCGACAAAGTTAAGAACTTCCTCACAGTAGGGAGAAGAGTGGTATTCCATGGGGCAGGGGGTTCGCCTGGTTGAGGCAGGAAGGCGTAAAAGGCGAAAAAGAATGTATGTGCGTGGAAAGTGTGAACAGGTGATCTGCTTGGTAGCGTCCGCAGCAGCGGCACGGGCTAACAATGAACGTGTGTGCTGGCTCTGCATGCCCTATGCGAGTACTACTGCCGGTCCAGGACTAAGGCTTACACTTGACGCCGCTCTATTCTTGTTTGAGCGTCTGTGGATGACGACGTGCAACCGTTGGTAGAGAGAGGGATAGGAAGAGTCTGTTGAAGTTCGAGGCGGCGGCGCGAGGGAGCGCCCCCGTCGTGCCGCACTGTGAACTCACTCACTAGGAGAGCGGTAGCGGCTGGTCCCGCCGGCGAGCAGCATTGCTAGTTTGCCTCTACCTACACTACCACCGTAGTAGTGGTCTATGGGCCATGCCCTTTCCCTCGTTTGCTACTACCCCCGACTGGCCGCCGCCTGAGCAGCGATTCGGCTGCAGTTCTGTCCTGTTGAAGCAGATCATCGTCTCGCCAGGGTCAGCCTGAGGTGCAGCACGAGCTCCCCCGAATTCTAGCGGGATCAGCAGCGTACGCAGAAACGAACAGTCGCGAAAAGCCGTCGTAATTGACGTGCTAGTGCTGCTGCACGTGAAATAGCTAGCGAAAAAAGCTGCTAGAAAGAACAACAATTGAAAGTCGCCCCAGCTACACGAAACAACGACTACAGTACCAGTAACAGCAGCACACGGAGGAGCTACAACGGTGGAGAGGAAGGACCGCAAATCGAAAGATAGCAATAGCAGAAACAGGCAAAACCGCAATGTGCTTCACCAGATGTAAGTAAGCGCCACCAATAACTATATGCTAACTAGGGCAGAAGCGAGGATCTGGTAAAATTGTTCGTATCATGACCCGACCACAACAGCAGTTAGTTTACGAACGTGCCGACCCACGCAACGTCACAGCATCAACAGCCAAACGACAACTCAAACAGCAGGCAAGTACAACCCTTTGAAAAGGAGGGCACGGACAAGTTTTTTTGTTTTAGTGCCGCATTGGAGAATTGCTAGGCGGGGACATCGGGAGAGCAAACGAGCGAGACAGAAAAGCGCCAGCCACGGGATAAAAAATACCCCTGTTTTCCCTCCAGATAAGCCGCGCGTTGCCCATATAAAAACAGTGGCAACGCGTGGTAGAACAAAGAAGCGCGTGCGATTGGCGACAAAAATAAAAGCCCTTTATGAAGAAGACATCTGTGGGAAGGTCGCGAGAAGATTCCTGCTGATTTTGTTATACGTTAAGTTTTGTGCGTCAGGTGAGATACAAGATCGCTGAATAGGCGATCTAGGGTCCCTTAACCGCCGTTACTGTCGACCCATTTCCCGGGTCGATGAAATAGCGAATGATAAAGTCCGCTGGTTGATGTTTATAGTGAATAATCAATAGACAGGGAGAGAACAAGAAAAGGTCAAATAAGAGACGCACCACAGTGAAGTCGAAGCTAGGATATCGAAAGTTCTGCCTAATGTATTGAGTTGTCGTTCGTCTAGTGAAGAACAACATTGTCTTTATAAGATTCGTAGCTGAAACTGGATTAGCTTTGTTTCGGACAATAGCTCTGCATATCCATCCCGCTGTGTGTTGTGTATCAAAAGCAAAAAGTGTCTACAACAACTCGAGAGAGTTTTTCCAAAATGCCAATTGTGGTAGTGGGTAGCGACTGCCGTTCGTGATTGCCTATGGGCCTACATTTCGTTCATTACAATAAGAAAAATAAATACTGAAAGTGCGACTAACTCATCTCATATACTGTGCGTGTAACACCGCCTCAAATGACACAGTAGGGCGGCTCAGGCCTTCCTTCTGCAGCTACCGGTTCTGTCGAGTCGATCGCCTACAGTTAAGAATTCATCGGTCCGTGGTGTTCTCGTGCTTCATTCGGTCTTAGAAATCTCAGAGGCGTTGTGCGACGTAAATGAATCGTGTCCTAATATACATTGTTGATTTAGAAAACATTCACATAATTTGTTCAGCCCATTACTAAGCACGTTTGATGATTGCCTCAAAGGATAATAGCCACAGGATTAGCAGCGACTCTCGTGCCTCTCAGTCACTAAATGTGACTTCATTTTATCCTCAAAATCGTATCCTCAAAACACCGCAGAGTATATCTTAGGGAAACACAACTAGCAGATCCTAATCAGCAGACTTGTAGGACCTTGTAACAGCAAAGTAAAGAAAAGGTCTCAGCAAGAAAAGCTGACAAAGGCGGGTCAAACAAACCAAAGATAGAGTCAAGAAAAGAATAGCAGAAAGATCACAGGCGAAACACGCAGCCTAGTAGGATTTTCCCTAGAGGCAAGAATCAGGCCGAAGGCCTTCGCAGTGGGGTCAGCAGTAGCAGAAAGGCCATATCATCGAACGCGCGCCACAAGTGCAACATAGTGCCGTGCCTCTGGGATCGGCGTTGCTTCAGTTAGACACAGGTACGGTTAGGCAGAGTTAACTGAGTAGATCGACCAGGAGCACAGCAGGCTTTTGACATAGTGCCACTGCATCGAAATTTTGCCCCGTTGTGTTTTTGTGGGCACACTTAAGTCGCCATTGGCGCAACGCCCAGGCTGAAAAATTCAGGATTAGGCGTTGTTTATTATCAGTTAGAACAGCTCGTTCAGTGTCTTCGCCAAAACCTTTTTGACACGAGGCCTTGTCAACGTAAACACCGGTGTCACTGTCAATTTACCTTACAATATCATCTCAAACGGTTCGTGTGAAACAATTTCGCTTACTCGTATTGTAAACTCTGCGTAACGTTGCCACGTATATGTTACGGATCCAACATCAGCATCTGCCGCGTTTATTATACTTAGTGGGTCTGTGTCTGTGTGATTTGCCGAGACAAAGTAAACGCCGAGAAAAGCGCAAGGCCATTGACCCCGTGCTTCCGTGCCCTACACAGGCGTTTATGTCTAGCGATTGTGCCACGTCCTAGATAGGAAGAGAAACGAACAGCGATAAAAATGAAGGCAGTATTTAGGGCATTGCAGAGTGTCGACCGCTGCTAATAGAATTCGACAACATCGCCAACAACTACCCTCGTTGAAGTTACACGATAACTAACTAACTCGAATGCCTCTGATAGCAACAATATCCAGCTACACTAAACAGATATCAGTAGCTTGTAGCTAAACGATTGCACCCTATGTAATAACAACAAGTACGACGACGAAACAACAAGAAGGAGATTCCTGTACGACCAGCTGAGTAACGGTTATATAGTAAAGCTTCCACAACAACGAAGACTGCTTTAGCGAGCGGCTAATAATAGGTAAGAGGCAGCTGACTGACTGATGGATTTTACAGAATGGAAAGTTAAGGACGTTCGAAAATACATTGATAATCAGCAATTTACTAAACCAGTGATCGCGTAAGCGATGAAGCTCATGCGTTTTAAAGCAGGTTGAAGTAACACGGCAAGAATTTTCGAATAGCATATCACGTAGGTTATTTCTCCAATTTTCTATACGGCAAATGTTACCCTTATTTGAATACGTTCCTATCGTCGATTGTTCCGCCTGCAGGAATCGGCAAATTATCATAGTTTTCACTGAATTGAATACTGATAAAGTTGTATGGTTTGGCCAAAATAGATTTTTCTAGTCAATGTTCTAGTTCGGTTACTTGGCACTACTATAAGCACTATGCATCGAAAATTTGCCAATTCTCTAAATATCTATAAACTTGCTTGTATTCAAGCGTTGATGGGGTACCATTGTGCCATTTCATACTAAATGCATAGATATATTAGAAGCTTCGCTTGTACAGTTGAATAACCCTTGGTCGGTAAACACAGGCCGGAAATGAAAGGATTTGCTTAAGTTATCCGAATCGCATATCAGTCGACGTCAATTGTTTCAAGCAGAGAAGCACAAGCCACAACTGACTACTTTAGGCAAGCGAAGAGTTTGTAATTCGAAGTTTGTAAGTCCATCTGCCTACAGTCGAACTGAATATATTTGCACGACCTTAGTTACTTTTCATGAAGAGAATTTTGCATACGGGCATACATGTATACGATCTTATCGTTACAAAGGAACAATAGAGGTAACTTGTTACGTAGCATGGTAACTGAGCGCCGATTCTTTAATTATCTTTATTTTAAATGAGCGCGACTGACATAAGACGGATGCAATAAAGTGACTAGCTAAAAATTAACATCTTTACGCCTCTAAGGCCACGTGTTTGAGCATTGGGGTGGCTGCGATACGGAGCAATACAAACGAGGTCAAATTTAATGCCCAGCTGGGATTAACAGGGTTCAAGTTGTTAATAACAGCTCGCTAATACGGGATATCTATTTAACGTGATCGTTATATTGTATTTCTACAACTAAAACTGCTCATTACCGTACTGTAAGCAATATCACCCATTTCAAAGGTCGCAGCGGTAAAACCAGGGTTCTATTATCGGAATATGGCAGCTATACGAGGAGTTCTCAATGAGACTGAAAGTTGTCCCGAAACGGGTGCAGCTAGCCATTCAATGAAAAACACCACAAAAGCGTGTCGCCACTAGATATCGCTTGCTTTCTTCTAGTAACAAATATTCATTTTACTGTAATTTTTCGAAGCTGACAATTTGCTTATAGATGCAACATCTGTTGCACAAGAACGTTTATGGCAAAATGGCCGTCTCACTTGATAACACTTCTTGATTAGAGTAAAATCGGTGGTCAGCTTTCACAGGCTTAGCGTCTGGATGCAAATATTGTCAACGCAATTAAATCACGCCGTAAAGAAAAAGTTCGCACTTCGACCCGATGATTCAATTCACATATGCTTCACTTGCTGAAAACTGACTGCAACGCAGTGCGACGCTCTGACGCAAGTACTTCACTGACCCTTCGAATACATCCATTTCCACTACGTTCCTTTCTATTCTCTATGTCCTTGTCTGGTGCTTAGGACGAGGTCGGGCAGGACTTGTGGGTGATAGTTGTTGCTTTTGGACGCGGTTACAGAAGTTGCAATATCAAGGGACGCAGGCGCAGCAGCCGCCAGACACTGTCACGATCGAAAGAGCCTTTTTACTGTCTCGCTATATGGTTCTTCTCTCCTGCACTGTGCCTGCGTCAAAGCCCTTTATGCTTTCGGCTTCTGTTGCTTGGCCTGTTGGGCCTGCGTTTCGGGGCAAAGTCAAGGCGCACGTAACCTTGAGCGACGGCGGCAACATCAACAGTAACAACGATGACGATGTCGACAACATCACAGTGCTGAGGATGCCGCGGCGGCGAAGTATTTCAAGTCGCTGTGTGAATATCATACAGACAAAAACATGGAGTGGCGGACACGCCCTTTTTTGACCCTGACACAACCACTCGAAGCCCTGGAGCGCTCGTACTACGAATGGCGTAGCTTACGATTAAGTTAGAATCCGCCTAATGACTTGGATCCTTCGCGTCCCACCGCGTTATCCCCCGGCCTCCTTCCCTTACTCTTTCCCGACCTGATTTTTCAATGGCGTCGATAAACAGTGCGCTAAAATTTCTAAAATCGTTTAAGTTTCTACTATTCGGCTGCTATTGACTTCAGCTGAACTGTTGAATTTGCGCGTTCGCATTGCCGACCCGATGATCTGAAAAAGCAGCAGCGACAGCTGAAGGAGGCCTGTGTGTCGCTCCATCACAGAACAACGTAATTTTAATACGTGTTCACCTTACGATGTCGCTGCCATCCTCCGCGGTGCAGCACCGCATTCTCTGGTAGTCCTGCTGCTGCGGACCATTCGTTATTTTTGCCTTACGTGGACTGGCGTTTTCTTCCCTTTTTTGGTATCGGGTCACAGCCATACCAATACCATTTTGCTATTGCAGACGTTACAGCAACGAGCACTGCCTGATTAGGGCAGGCTCTTCGTGTCTTTGTGGGCTAAAACTCAGCCGGAGCTCCGAACTGTGCCGTGTTCCCGACAGTAGGACAGGTTGGCCAAGAATCACAGGCTTCGCGGCCTTACTACTGCAACAGTAGTACATGCATGGACCGTGCGGGCGGAGCATTGCGCTCTGTAATCCTACACTACTGAGGCTGCCTTTGACTTACTCCCGCCCAGGTTCTTTTACGACCACCCCCCATTCACGGGACACTCGATCTTAATCACACTGTAGTTTTATCGCTATCATTACCGTTCACTGAAGCTGTGTTCTGCACAAACGGGTCCCTCCCACGAAATGGACGCCAGTTGTCTGTTCAATAACGATCTCTTCCCCTCAGGAGTAAGATGATGCTAGGCACCTCCAAAAAGGAGATCGAAAAGCGTCGAGTTATAAAGTATATGTATATATATAGATCGTGAAATAAAGTATGTAGCCGAGTAATAAAAATAAATCAGACCAATTCAAGTTGTAAAACAATCTCGACGTCGGCGTTTTGAGCAAATGTTAATGACTATGTAACTAGTCTCTGATAATGAGAGACTAGTTATAGCAGGCCGGCTGCTAGATAATGATACTAGTCGAGCTGCATATAATACATGTTAGGTTTATTTCCAAACAGATAAACGCTATTTAGCAGAAAAAACGTGTTAATACGTTATTGATAATATGGGAAAGACGAGCAACGCTTACGCTGTTCGATATAATCGATGCAATAACCTTTATTTGGTTGTGTATTTGTTCACAGGAACACATCAAGCTTGAGGCAACAATAAACTCTGGTAATATATTCCCAAACTTTTATATATTTCTAGGACTATTCTAGTAACTTTATTCCCGCTGGACAGCGGCGCCATTATCTCCACTCTTAACAGGAGGAGACCTGAGAGCTTGTACGTCACGCGGACAAAAAAGACTCAAGTCGATGATGGTAATGGGGAAACGCTTGCGAGCGTACAAGGACATTGTGGAACTGCATAACGGGTAGATAGATGGAGTGGCCAAGCGGACCGGATTGAGCTGAAGTCGTATAGCGCTATCGTTGTTGATCGCCTGCCCTATCAGTATTGGACGGGTCAAGGATATCGCCGAATGGCATGTTATCTAAGTTCTTACTGCTATCCCAAAAAGTGTACACTCCTCAGAATATTCATCGCTAATTTGAATTGATTGTAGAACATTAAGGTGTAACTATTTGAGGTATGGTATTGGACTACTCAATTATGCATCCAATATTTTTTTGGGGGGCAAAAGCATACGTGGACCAAAATGCTAACGTATCGAAAGCTAAGCAGACGACTTTATAATAACAGCACTCAAGACAGTGCTGATGGCGATACAACATTATAATTTTTTTACTAGCGTTTCTTTCTGTAACGTGCTCCTTATCATTCATTTGTATTTGTTACACTAATTATTCTCTACAAAAGTCTCCTCTCGAATAAATTCTCTTATCGGCTTAAAAACACATGGAGTTAAAAATGTGAATTATTGCGTAATAACTCTGGTAGCTTTTCATCATCAATGTTTTTTTTTTTTTTTTTTCGACAGCAAAAGTAGCTTATCGTTACAGCTACCCTATGTTAAGGCTGTCCTTTCAATATAGCATACTATTCTAACGAAGAACTACGACCAGCAAAGCTTTACGTTTCGCCACATGTTCAACCAATCTCACATTGCTCTTTTCGTTGCTGATTCCTTATGGATTTGTTAGATCTCGAAAACTAACCGAGATGCTACATAATGGCTCGTCGCGTCATTTACAGCATAAGCTCCCAACAGACGATTTATCAAATGTGTTTCGGAAATTTTTAATAGAAATAAACTTCATTGTTCCTATAGTCCGCATATATACTAGAAATAGTATACGGTACCACACACAAGATGACATCTTGATAACGACAACAAATGGTTTAAAATTGTTTGAAAATAGGTTTTTCAGAAACTTAGAGATATAAAATGAACCCTCCTGAATGTCTGAAAAAATTTATTACATTAATTACACCGATTAATAACAACCACTTATTGTTACTAGAACTACATTTATCTGTCTTTTAGTTGTGACAGTGTTATTTCAAGAGGAAGCCGCAACACGGGTGTCTGTTGAAATGGTCAAATTTTCGCGCCAACGCTACTCAGTAACCATGGAGTTTTTCTGGTTTTTTTTTTCTATAGATTTGGAGTTACGCGCGCCAAGAAAAGACTCACAAAGCTATATTAGACGATACTTGCTATCTTACCTAGAGACATCCTTTCCCTAATCTAAAGGTAGCCCCTAGTGTGCTTTGTATGTTTCTAAACTGCTTTTGGCTACCCTATTGATGCAACAGCTGTCACGTTTGTCCCGGCAACGCACTGCACCTCGAAGGCAGATATGTTTTCCTCGTGATCTTCGATTATTGATCGAAAGCTATCGTTAATCAAAGTCAAGAATAGAAAACAGCATTGTCTGTGACCAACAACCGGGGTTCTATCTGGCGCTGAACAACAACAACAACAACGTTCGGAGCTATCGCAGAAACGTAGAAAGCTGTAACGTAGGTCTTCATATGTTACTCGAACGGTGAATGTATTTTCAACAACGTTCGGGACGTAGACATAGAGAGTACCATGGATTTGATGAATGTATAAACCAAGTGCATTCGAAGGTTTCTCCTGGAAAATAGTTATCCGACGTACATTTATCTAAATGTATGTAATCTATATAGATATGAAATGGCTTTCAAGCAACCCGCGACCGATTGCTAAAAATAGAGACCGAGACCTAGACAGACAGACAGACAAACGAAAAAGCTACCGTTACGTCAGTGTTTTTGATAGTCGGAACAAATGCACAGAGCTGTGCTATGGTGCTACACAATGATTCGGGTTGGAGTCGTCTACTGCGGAAGATCAATACATTCGTTCATACGCTTACTGGTATAGTTCGATTTTCGAAAATTGTTTCCCATATGTAAAAAATATTAACTACAAAGATTACTATAATACTAAGATAGGCGAGTAGCCCATTCCATCGTCGGGCAATGTACATAAGTCGCAAGTTCAAATTTATGCCACATAAAGTGTGACATAAGCCAGATAGATAGATAGATAGATAGATAGATAGATAGATACGCACTTATCGAGCAACTACATTGCTGTAAAACATATAATGATATATGTTTTTTCTCTAATGAATATATTGATTCTTATCGAAGTGTTTCTTGTTAACTAATTATCAAAGAAACATCTTACGCATCTGCCGTAAATGCCGCGATATAGCGCTCTCGAATAGATTCTGCATGAACTACCATAATCAAACCATTGAATGATATATCAAAAGCATTCAACGGGAATGTTGGCTACATCGTGGCTACAAAATACGCTTTGCTCCAAAAAAATTGTAATATGGTTTTGACGCGGTACAAGATTAAAAACGCTATCATTTTTACTAGACGAGAGTGCTCAGTTTTTGTCTGCATCGCAAGTGTCTTTTACAAATTTAATAAGATATAGCGTTCAGAACGTCAATTTCAAATTTCTTTTTTCTTATCATCTCGCTTCTGTATCATTTTAGAAATCTAGGAAAGATAACAGAGTGCCGTCACGATGAGTCAGGAAACTGAATGATGACCTATTATTTCTTGACATTATTATGGGCGCACAGAAGAGGGGTATCGGTCTGTATAAAGGCTATAATATGGGGGACTTTTCGCAACATGGAGAACACCGTTTATTGGCCACTGCTGAATCGAAAAGGGATAACTGCAATCTATGAAAAGTTTTACAATTCGAAAGAGTCATTATGTATTGTAAACTTGTAAAACTGTTTGCAAGGCCACTAAAGACTATAGGTCGGCGCCCAATGAGGTAGCTTTGCCTCAGTCGGGCTCTTGTCCTATTATCATGCCATGTCATGTTCGTTCAGGATTCGAAAGTAACATTCACTCAGAGCGCTCTAATGAAACCCACTGATTACTAATCTAATCTGCTGAGCGTGTTCGGTTGAACTGCTTGATTGATAGGATATGTGGAAAAACATTGAATAAAGGTTGGACTCTTAACGTGAAAGACAACAACGCTTAGTGAATGTATATATATATATATATCTGTATGTATATGTATATAAGAAAAACAGCCACCGGAAGGAAAAATAGAAATTCAGCAAAATCACGGATTCATGCATGCACCTAATCAGTGCATATTAAAGAATTACCTGTGTATCATAATCAAACATTACAGGAAAAAAATGTTCCTGGAAGATTAATACCAAACTAGCCCCCGTTTTGTCTCCGCCGCTTTTTGAACATTGCTTTGTGCAGGCACTTGGAAAAAGACAATCACTCAGGGTTTGCTGCTGCCAACTGTTGCCAGAGAGAGGCACACTAACGATCTTACCGGAGTCTTTAATGTATCATAACAGCGAAACTAACGTTTTGTAAAAGCTAGGTAGAATTTTCATTCATTCAATAAATAAAGAAATGTATGCTATATATCAAAAGGATCAGATCGGTGTCACATTATCCAAATAGAACATTTGGCATCTTCACAATGCGTGCTTAATCAATAACTGTGTACGTAAAGAAATATACAGGCTCTATTGGTAGTACTGAAATTCCCGTAGTGGTTCCCGTTTTCCATTTTTCACGTATTCAATATATTCGCGTCTACCTAGGTGTAGTGCACTAGCACGTAGCCCCAGTACAGCCACTGAGGGAGCAATTTTTTTCCCAGTGTTGTAATCTATCGATTTGTAGCCAGAGAAAATCTTTTTTTCCGGAGAAGCCCCCTGGTACTAGAATCGCGCTGTTAAACACTACAACGTTCTTACTCACGGCTGCTAGAGGCAACCTAAGGTTACTTGTTGGCATCGTTCTTTGCGTCAATAGAACAACCAATAGAGCAACTATCCTTCGCTGAAACAGTAAAACTTCGTTTTTTTTTTTTTTTTTTAATGAAATATCTGTATGAAACCGGAAAGCCGGGAAATGACAAATGTACTTCATGAAATATAGAAACATACTTGTATTATATAAATGTAATATTTAGATTATACCTGTGGTATTAACACAACGATACATGCTACTCGATTAAAAAATTAGTGAGCAGTCATAAAAGACGTCAGCTATGAACAACGTAAAATTCCGTAAAGAGTTGGCCCTCAGAGACGGTTCGTTCGTGAAATGAATGACCATAGTAATTATTAAGGATAGCGTGCTAAACGAACCCCACCAGTCACGAATGAAATGATCTTAGCAGTCACGAAAGAATACGTTATTTAGCGGCTTAGTGTCCTGCGATGTGTAGCGTGGCCGTTCGCAGGTCATTGGACCTGATGTCGAAGAATGATTAAGCATTTGTTCATTCTCGTGCCGGTTGACATGTTTAGTGTTTGGCTAGACGCAAGCACCAGTATATACGCATTGCCTGCACATCTTACGTACAAGTATCTATCGTGTACTATACTTCCACTGTATGATTCAATATTTTCAACTATAAAACAATGGAAGCTGCGTGTGAGGGCCGTAGAGTGGCCGACCAGCGTCATATGATCTAGACCAACAATAACTGTTATACCGAGATTACTTCGGGCACCGGTATGATTTGTGCTTATTATCGCGTAATGTTTTTAATGCTAACTGTATTTCTAGCTAAGCGCAGAAAGTCTCTCTTTTTATCGGCAGCTGTATATAAATTAGGACAATCCGCATATAATTCGCGTTTCCTCCTAGCGGGTGAAACGTTTCTCTAGTCTAAGACAAATCTAATAGGTGTAGCGTAGACTAATGAATCGGTTCTGGAGAGCCCTCCTGAGGGAGACTTCTCAACGAAATTGAACTTGTTGCTAATTTTTTCATTTTTTTTGCTCGAGCTTTTTTTTCCATGACCTCATGAGTTTATCTGACATAATCGTTAGATTTTAGCGCGTTTTTAAGGTTTTCGAGGAGCTGGAATTAAACTTGTATCATCTGAAAGTGGCTAATTGTGGACGATATACATTAGACTAGTGGCAGTCTGGGAAAAAAAGTCGAACCCCTCCAAGCAAACAAAGTCCTGTTTGATATCGGACAATTTGATACACGATATTATCAATAACAATTTTTTTCAAATGTAATGGACGTAATAGGTAAAGTGAACCTTGATCGTAAACATCTCATGGCCGAAGAACTTTGTCAATAATACTCCGCTTTTGAACTAGATACCGTTCTGCCTAGGTAAACATGGACAAAGAATACTATACAAAACTCTCGTAACAACTTCAGTGTTATAGTAGGCATGATATTAAATATCGTATTATAGCTTGTATGACGATAAAATATGCCCTGGACATAGGTTTAGTGTTTGGCTTACCTTACGTTAAGTCGCAAATATCTGAGTAGAAGGTGGGAGACAGGTCTTGTCGGTCGTATCCTGAGTTCAATTATTTACTTTATTTTTTCCGTGTATTATACAATACGAATTTCAATATTATCGACCATATTGGTAAATCATTTGACGACGGTTAGTCCGGAAATCATACCGCGCTGGTGAAGATGATTCCACGTCACTTTCATATTACTAGAAGCGATCACATCAGTCGGTGCCCCGATGGCACTGGACGCGTGTGCGCGAATTATCTCACAGACCCGTAAAGGCGTTTGGATAAAACGAGTACCGGTTAGTTCAGATCATTCCGATGAATTTATGGCATCCGGTTGTTTGCTGAATTTTAGATTTAATTTCACTGTTATTTTTTAATTATCGTGAGATTCAAACACATTTCATATGATTTTATATACTAGGCAAATAAGCTGTACTTGAGCTTAACCTTTTCATGAAATCTTTAAGCAAATGAAGAACCAGGACACAAAAGAGCTTCTCAGCGATCTTGCGGTTACCATTGTGTCGGGGCAGGTTAACTAATTAGGCCGCAGATATCAGATCATGCCTTCTCATTGATATTTCTCGTCTGACCTGAAGCGGCGGAGTTGAAGGCCCGAAGTATAAATAAAACCTGTACATGACCGAAGAACGACTGAATACGAACAAAGCATTCTTTTCATCTTGTACATAGGTTATAATAATATACTTTGTTAACAAATTTGGAAACGCCACACCGCATCTAATTATATACCCCCTGCGGACTTAGAGCCTCTATAGCTCTAAGTTCTCAAAATATTCTTTTTGGCTCCCTAAAAACGAACGGCAGACAAAAAATGTACTAATGAGCAAACCAACCCTTCGGTAATTCCTGTGTCAACGTTCCCCTGGCCTGTTGCAACAACAAACGCTACCGTCGACAGTATCCATTTCGTTATTGGGGCACGACCATTCGTTTCGCTACCTGAACGTCAGTTCTGCTTTGCATTCTCAGTGCGACATTTATCGGCATAATAGTGAGTGGTTGTAGGCGTATTTATGCCAGAATGTCGCGTCTATGTTTTATTGTTCGATTGAGCAAATGAGGGTTCAGGGGGTTGACCTAAAGGGACTATTAACTGCCATAGACATCTGCTATATATCTGACAGAACGAACGGTTGGCGAGTGGCAAAGTCGTAGATCAAAGACGAGAATCTGCAGAAAGTCGCGTCGAACATAGGACAGCAGCAGTGGCCACGAGGCTGTAGCACGCGATTTGCGAGACAGGCTGGACAAACGCGACTTCCCTTTAAGTAGCTCAGTTTCCCAGTGTCGGGAATACAACTAAGGGTAAGCAGACATTACAACCCGTACCAAACAGTATCATTAGCGTTTTTGGAGGTTAGACCACAGGTTGAATTCAAAAAATGTTCGATAAGCGTTAATGTCCTAAAGTAAGAAAACCTACTATACAGTATTACGCAAGAAAAAGGAACTTACTTATTTTGAAGTTTGGCGAAATTTCGCTTTGCTAAAAGACAGACGGATATCCCTGTAGATGAGTTGGCACCTTGAATATTCCGAAGTTCGTATGTTAAACTGTATTGTGTTAGGTTGATTTTTATCCGCAAGCCTTATTTATAGTTGTTCTCTTTCAATCAATGTCGAAGGCTACACATAACGATGATCACGGCTTATTCATAGAATACCATGTGGTATATAGTTGTTAAATACGATGAAATAAGAAGAAAAGCAGTTATGCTTTATGAGGAATCCTATTGTGTGCGATGTACTTCGATAGGTAGATTGGCTAGGTCTAAGGGCTAGCCGGTTTTAGAAATTTACGAAACACTTTTTTTTCTTTGATCACGAATGACTGCCACTTTACCATTGTCCCCGTCCCACTGACAGTATATCTCACAGTATAATTGAAAACTATGATTCTTAACAATTGGAATGTTATATATTTTGTTTGTCTGTTTCGTCCTTCGTTATGTTGAACTTAGGTTTAGAAAAGGTCTCTTCAGCGGTTTTCCAAACTGTTGAACATTGTTTTCTGATAATATTATGAATCTTATTTAGAATCAATGGTATTAATGAAGCCGAAAAAATAAAGAAGTAGATGGAGCATTAAGACCAATACCATAAGGAATCAGGAGATTTAAGAGAACATTAGGTCAACAATCACTTTCCAACCATATTCAATCTATGAAACTCTACTTTTCATAGGCTGTTCTCTTATAAGCGCAGTGCCTTGTTCAAAGTGTGAAGTAGGCCTAATAAGGCTTATGCGTTTATCCTGTACCGTTTACTAATTAAATAATCAAAAGTTTCAAGTGGTTCTGCTTCTACAGGGCAGGTAGTGCTGAGCCGCTTGACGATCTCTAAGAGCCGACTCAAAGGCCCCTTAGCCTGATTCTTTCATTAGCAGGTAGACCATAGGCATCCAATGGACCATAGACAGGCTTCGATTTTCTCGCCGTAGAATGCGGCGTCTGTGTTTGGACAAAAAGACAAGCGTCTGTCAAATGGTTGTAGTCGCTTGATGTTGTAACCGCATGACCTTCGTTCTATTGATGCGCCGTTGTGGAATATTAATAAAATGTTTTCTCTATTCTATTAGAGATAGGTCGCTGGTCCGCTTGATTCCCAGGCTATCTAGCCATACGGCTCTCAGATCGCTGCCTTCATTTGGTCCTTAGATTCACATAATACCGTCCAAAATGGTATGCCTGAAGTGCAGACCTGCCTGAAATACTCAGAGTTCAAACAAGTACCGGATCAACAGGCACCTGTAGACGACTCTGAAAGACAGCGAGGCCGTTTTAACAATCAACCACATAGCTGTTGATAAGCTAACGATAAACTTTTTTTTGGTCATGACTACAAGGGTGGTCAAAAAGGAGCGTGTGCATGTTAGTTGACAAGCCCTTACTTAAATCAAGAATTTAGCTAGATATGCTCACATAGTGTTTATTTTGAACTTTCTACCAGCCGACGCTGAATTACACGCCCGCCGCGGATACTGGCAAAGCGGCTGATCGCCATATACATGGTAGTGAGCAGTTAATTGGCTATTGGATACGACGCTAGTGAATTTGAAGGACGAGTATGGGTGATTTTTTTACATGCTTGTTAGCGTTCAGCTTTAGGTCGAGCAGAAGACGGAGCTTGCGCTAACGGAGACAAGAAGCAGTTTACTTACACGAATCGGTGAAGTCACATTGGGGTATACCGTGAATCGCTACTGCTGGCTAGACTAAAATATAGTGACATCAACACTAACTTCGGCGGATGGCAACAGTAATTTTATTTTTATCACTCGATCAAATTCTGAGATGAAGTATTTGTGCCAATGCTGTTGCAGTGAGTGCATCGTGCGGGCTTTTTTGCCTTACAGAGATAACTTAATATATTGATATGTCACAGTATGAATGTTAATTTCTTATTTTGTAAATATGATATAATGCACGAATATGAGTCATATTTTGGGTGAAAAACGTAGTAATTCTTACAAAGGTATTTTGGTCCATGTTTCAAGAGCCAAGGATGGTCACCTAAGTGCCTCTAATTTTTCAGCTCTCAAGTCTCTATTGGGACATTACGACGGAAAGAGTAACGTAAAGACGCTTGATGTTGCAACCCGCCGAATTGATTCGGCATTGTAGAATATTAATAAAACGTTTTCTAGGTCTCCGGCCCCCTTGGTCCACAGGCTTTCGAGAGATCTGAGCGCTTTCGGTTAGTGCCTAGGTTCACACCCTCAGTGTCATCTGCAAATGCTTGTTCGTAAAAATGGGACTAATTACTCGATCATTATTTTTCAACATTTACTCTTTGTTCATCTCATGATGGTGAAATGGCAAAAGGTCAATGGTCCATATTCTTATTTCTGGAAAAATAATCTGAATTTGTGCAAAAGTAACTTATGTTATTGTTAATACAAATTATTATTATTACAAATCCTTATTACAGATCCTGTTACCATCACCGGGAAATGCCACTCAAAACATTTAGTATTACTGATGAGAAACTATGAAAAAATTCCTCTTGTAGCCTACGATGGAAAACGTAATCTACAAGCTATTGGCCGCCGTGACTGCGGTCTAATCTTCAGGCGCTCTACCTCGGCTAATAGTAGTTGGACCGTTTAAACCAATAGGGGCAACTAAGTTCGCTAGACTGGTCATAAACAATCCACTATAACACATATATTCAGTAATAACACGAAAGTGACCAAATATAAATTATATGCGTGACATGTAAGACCTCAACCTATTCGATCGAAGAGTTCAGCCATCACTCGTTCGAGGGTATCAATCTTGCCAATCCTGCATTATCCAGGTTGATGAAATGAAGTTTTATTATTTTAGATACCAGTTTTCCACATATACATATACTTGCTGACCTCAGTCACTTGATGCCTTATCAGTTTCAGGCACTCGGATAGTAGTCCTTTCAGATCTAAATTGGTCACGCCCACCAGCACCTATGCGTAGCGCGGGAAATACACTTATCTGATTCCATACCGACTCGGTATTCAATATAAATGTGGTGCTCGACGATCCCGTATGACGATTGTGTCTCCACTGTTTTCCACCCGGACGTTTCATGCGAACACTCTACAGAACAGCCTATGTTCCCACATCTCAGACGCTTTACTGACACCATATGCGATTTCTATTTCGAAATAGGCAAAATTGAGGTACTCTACACTTTTCGAGCTGTCTACGTTAATTTTTTTCGCGACGAGTTCTCTGTAGTGTCGTATTAAACAATTTGTTTGGCCTGTGTGGTATCAACGACGTAGGCAAAGAAAAGGAGCACCGTACGCAATGCGTTTGAGGAGTGGTCCTATCATAGCGTGATTTACCTAAAAGTGTTATGATAAGGGAACGAACGGACTACCTATAAATCAAGTCTCGATTTTGAGCCCTGTTGCTTTCTTCAAGGCTTCTTACATAACGAAGTGTCACTTTTTAATTGTCGTTTCATTTGGAGAGTAATTAAATTACCGATCGAATCGGAAAGGCGATTTAGTGTGTATTATGTAGAGTATTATTAAGGCACTTTGTGATGATTTGCCAGTTTGCAGAGTTTTGTAAAAGAGTATATTTCGATGGAAGTACCCGTCGAAAGCTACAAGTAACCCTAACATTCTACCTCATAATGTAATTAGTTTAACCGTTCCATTGCATGTATTACTTATAGCTGACACAGATAGACCTTATTCAACGCGTGAACAAAAAAAAACAAGCTTTCAGCCTGTACATGACGGTATGGTTTTGATATAGGGCAAGCTTCTGGCCTTTGCCTTTTTGTGCCAACCAACATACCCAAAGCAGTTTTTCTTTCTAAAAATGAATTTTTGCTAATCACGATATTTTTCTCATTCCATAACACTACGTAAGCTTGCAGTAATATTCTGCCATAGACGGATCCATAACGTCAAACAGAATAATGCAGTCGATTCCTATAAAGAAATCGTTATTATAAGTTTGCAAGAACACGTACGTCGGACCTTAAAGCGTGTCCCTCTGTAATATTTTTGAAAAATTTTCTTCAAAATTATCGATTAATCTCATAATTTAGCCTTAGCTTAGAAAATGTAATCGGGTCGTATACCTGAGATTCGGCGATAAAATCCACAAATGGGTTAGAAGTGAATTAGGTTTCAGCCCATTCGAAGTAAGAGTTAATTAAAGTTTAAAATATTTTTCTATGTAACAACCCTGCAAAAACTAAAGAATTTTGCTAGAATGGTAACACAGTTTGTCTTTAATTAAAGTTCTTTAACCAGCATATTCTTGGAGTTAGCTTTGCCACTAATTTTCAATCAATGGCTAGTAGATGTATGACGGCATGATGGGTAGATTAGATGAAATTTTGTTTTCTACTGATTTATATATCACTAGTCAGTGATTCAAATGGTAACAACCTTTTAAAATCAATACGGTATCACGTCGTTTAATAAAATGATGAAATATTAAACTATTCAGTCGGAACCTCTGGGACTATTTTCCACTTCGGATGTATGCTTCGTTCCATGGGCCACCATTTGGGCATTCATCGTGGCATAATGAAAATCTATTAGATAAATTGCAGATAAATCGCAGAGTCAACTCTTATTCTGGTAGCTGACGACCCCATTTTCTATTTCTTTGCTATTCGGAGATAAAGCGCGATAGGATATCTTTGTATTCAAACTCTGCGGTATTTACGCAATATTTGCCGTATAAGAAGGTGTTTCTTCCTAAAGAATATTATTCTTTAGGAAGAAACACCGTTTTATTAAAACGTTGTTGCAGACGATTTTGTTTGTAACGGTCGAGCCAGTATTTGTG